TTTTCGCCTTGCTCTGGGAGCTCTGCAAGAAGAAAGGCAATGCTAACCCAGGCGCAGCTGCACCAACAAGCGGTTATTAGCTCTGAGCAGAAGGTGTTCGAGGAGCGATGGGGGTGTTCAGTCATGGAAAGGGTGACCATAGCTGTTACCCTGCCAGAGAAAACCAGTGGCAAAAGTGTGCCTTGCATCTCAAACAAAGCGATCAGAAGGCAAGCTTTCAAACTAGTCTCCTGCGGCTGTCTTGTGCTTTAGCAATACCCGGTACATGTTCCTCTCATCTTTTGTAAGCGTGCGGGCGGCATTAGGAGCGACCCAACCTCTAAGCCAGGCCAGCACTGCCCCTGCAACACAACAGTGTCAGGCAGACTTTAAAATCAAGAGCAGAGCGGCGGTTTGACAAAGCTCTGCTCAATAATTGATTTTTTTTTGCCCCTAGGATTTAATTAGAATATTGACATGCTGTTGTAACTTATGATGCTAATAACTTGTCTGTCTCAACGCCAAAGTGATTTGAGTTTTTACCAGCTTAGCCAAACTTCCTGATCCTGTGAACTTATTGGTAAAATCCTGGTGTGACTGAAAACTACAGGACAAATGCCGAATACCTCAAAGAGCATAGGATTGCAGAGGTTTTGGTATGGCATACAAGCAAAGAGAATGATGGCTCCTGGGGGTCCCTTTGCTCAGTTATGGGATGGAGGAACAGGAGCATTGCTGAACCCCTGGGCGATGAGGCAACACCAGGCTTAGCACTGTAATAACTGCTTCTCCTTGCTAAGCGTCGCTTTTACGTCGCTGGTCAGGGAGAGCGGTGCTTGAACCATGTGCAAGCTACGCTGTTGAACAGACAGAAGTAACCTTTGTTCTTTGTTTTCACTTTCTTTCCACTTTCATTTCTCTTCTTTCTTTAATAGTTGCAGTTTAACTGAAATTGGGTTTTTTTGGTTTTTCACCGGAGTGCCCCAATAGCATTGTTAAGATTTCTGTGGAATTAAAGCAGGGATAGTCATATCCCTGAACGGTCGTTAAGCGAAACAATTGGTAATGGGTAGCTCCTCGCTTCTTGTTTCTATATATGCTAATATTTTTTTTTTAAATACAATTACTTGGCAACCACTGTGAAGTGTCCCTTTGTATACCATACCATTATGAGGACTCTTTCATGCATAAATAAGGTAGCCCTACTTTACTCTGGTTTAATCCTCTCTGAGGATGTGAACCTCCATGGCAATTAGCGATTAAGTTACAGTGAACCAAGGCTACTTTGCTCTTGAATGAGTGCATCTACAGGAGTGATTAATGTACTTTAACACTGACATCACTCCTGTAGTTGCTTTGTCTTAAGTTTTCTAAGTATATCAATGTTAGACGTGGCCTACGTTTAAGACTCTCATTATTTTTGTGTGAATAATATATCCAAATCAAAGGAAAGGGAATTTCAGTGTTAATTTGTGTTGTGCTAAGAAACAGGTGGGGACTTGGACTTTGGAAATATTGGAATATATTTGAAAATATGGTTTGGCCCTGGAAACACTTCAGGCATATCACTGGAATTCCAGCACTGTATATCTTATCATTTCTCTCTTTAGTACCCTTATGATTTTCATGGCCATAGCAAGAATTATAATTTCTTTTCTGTTCTCACTCCCCGTGGCAGATTTTGCCACCTCCTGATAAAGGCCTTCTGTGTCCTTTACGTTCCAAAAACCTAAGCAAGACATAACAGGGGAAAAAAAGTTTATTGCATCAGTTGGGTGATTTGACTCCATTGTCAAAACCCTGTGTCACAGACCAAGATGCTGCCCTAATTTGTTTTAGACGTTCTACGGTAAAGAGTAAGTGCTGGTGCTGCCCCACAATATTTGCAATCCCAAGTAGTAAGGGACGAGGCAACAGATGGGCACAGAGAGGTGAAGAAGTGCAAGGGATAATATTGGTCAGTGCACTAGCTAAAGTAAAAGGAACGGGCTAATGAGTTTCAATGCCATTTTTAGAATATCAGAGCCCCGTGTCTGTGAGAGAGGGTCACCCTCGTCAGGATGGCCACCCCGAGAGGCAACAGACCATGGAAGCAGCAGGCTCGCAGTCCCAGCTGCACTTTGGGTCTGCAAAGCCCCTGCTCATCCACTGGCTGTTTCCTACCATCCCTGCTGAAAAATCAGGTTTGGTCATTTGTATTTCAGCCTACTTTCAAAAGAAATGCAGCAGCTGCTATGGTTGTAACACTTCATGCTGGTAGAAATGAGCAGAATTTCCCTAAAAAAAAAGGCAGGGCTTGTACTGACAGCATTGCCCACATCTGTGCCATGTCCAGACATGGGAGTTACACTTTGCACATTTGAAGAATGTTGTATTAAAGGAGTTACAAATTTTGTAAAAAAGCACTTACATTTTTTTAAAAAAACTCTTATGCCAAGAAAGTGTAACAGTAATCATGTTACCTAACCTATTCCATTAGCTTTCAAATAAGTACATGCAGTTAACTGCAGTATGAAATAGTTCACAAGCATAACTGAACTACAACTGTGTCTCAGCACACAATAATTACATATTTTACCTAAATTGCAATTACATGTTCCGTTATGTATTGTGGGTACTTTTATGGACTTCACTTTTTTGTATAATTAGTGTTTTGAATCAAATGCTGAGGGCTAAGCATTTTTTACATGTTGAAAGGATTAGCAAGGATCCCATACTGACTTATTATGGTAGACATATGTGAAATAACTTTCCTTTTAACTGAATAATTATGCATTAATGTATTTCCTGTGCTCTGTGCTTAACTAATTGAGAGGTTTTGATATTAGTGTACATGTCAACAGTGTAATGGTTGCTCTGTTAGTTGTTAAGACGTTGTTATATAGTCTCCACAAACACTGGACATTGCTGGTTTGTGTCTGTGTGTCATTGTAAAAGACTGTGGTAAACAGATAACATTGTTATTACCTTAAAGGCCTAACCCCCGCATCCCAAATGCAAATGTTTTTCAGGTGGATGTTGTTGGTGCTGCAGGAGATATTACTGGTCATGTAAATGTGGTTAGACAGGAAAAAAGTGGACTGCCGTATTTAAATTGGAAATAGAAAAATAAAACTGATCAAAATGTAGAATGTGCAAAGATGAGATGTAAAATGGCAGACAAGCCAGCAGAAGCTGTTATAATAAAATAGCATCTACACTCCCCCTCCATACTAACAGTATCTAATTAAAACCTGGAAACTGCATGACATACTGAATCACAACAATTGTAGTTGTTGTGTTTTCCTCTGTGTCTTTTTCAGCTGTATGAATTCTGATGTGAATTTCGGTCGTAAAGCAAATGGGTCATAAAGCAAACTGTACGAAAGACCTTGATGCACATTCAAGTACGTTTGAAAATATTTAAGGAATTTAGGAGAATGATTTGATATTAACTGATGAATTTCCAGAAAGACCAGCTTCGGGCTGTCAAACAACAAGGATGTCAATCCAGAATTATGAGAATAAGTAGATCTCCACGTGCAAATATGCAGAGCGCTTTGCTGGCGTTACTGCACTCTGTTCATGCCTTTTACCTTACCCATCACTTGGTTGGCTCACATCCACAATAGCAGAGACGCGAATCTGTAAAACTAACTAAATGCTGAATGTTTTGTTTTAAGAAGCCTGGGAATGGAATAGCTATTTTTTCCCTGAATGGGGGCCATCTTGAGCAATGGTCTCATAACAATGCTCAAAGGAGAAGGGAGTGGGGAGACTGTCCCGAGGATTAACATGACAACATAGAGGCTTTGTTTGTAGATTAAAGCCGTTGAATTTTGGATGAGTCGGTTTTGTGCTGGGATACCTTACCGAACCTGCTCTGGTGGATGAGGGATTTTAGCAACTGGGTTAAGTGAAATTATAGAAAGAGGGGCTGAGTCAGGAGTTGTATTTGCTCTTTTTTGTAGCTTATTGGGAGAGATCAGACTTGGTTATGGTGAATGGGAAACAGTAGACTTAGTCCTGCTTTTCTAGCATCTGCTATTTTATCTGTAGAGTGAAGGTTTGTTGAGGAGAAAGGGAGTACGTAATGCTTAATTTAATTTACAGTTTGCAAGCTAAGTTTTACACTATGTCAAGTATACCTAGGCCATGTAGCATGGGACTGTTTGTTAGCATTTGCATAAATAAAGACTTGTTTGACATTTGTAGTCTGGATGTTGGAGATAAATGCATTAGGTTCCTGCAGTGGGCTCTGGGCGTCTGCCAACAGATGAAGGAATCTAAATAATTAAAAGGATCGTAGCTCCATAGTCTCAAGTTTCAGGATCTACACAAGAATTTTTATTCTGTCATAGTATCTGTGCTTCTTTCAGCTTTCTCCCTTATGACCACAGATGGGTAGGGATTGTTAAGGCAGGTAAACCATTGGACATTAAAACCTTGCTAACATTGATGGAAGCTGGACACTTACCTGAGCCACACAGCACAGTATGGAGAAGCCTGGCCTGACACTCTGGGTGCTAGCTCCTCACAGGGAAAACAGTAAGACCACATCGCGGAGCTACCGTATGCAACTTATTAACTCCTGTCTTTCAGTACCTAGTAAACCTCATGAAAGGTTTATCATTTTGGCTGTAGAACTCTACCACTGCAAAAACTGTCTTTGAAACCAATTGAGCTGAGAAGATCCCAGCTCTAAAGAGGAGAAGCAATTGTTCTCGGTGCTCCTGGAGTGCTCATGGGGGAACCTCATGAATGAGATGCTTTGCCATATCTACACCAGATACGTATATGAGATAGGTAGGTATATAGGCATTGAAAGTGTCCCAGGATTCCCTACAACAGTTGACAGCACCAGGCTGATGCCTATGTGTCTGATTTTTTGCCATTTTTGTTCCAACTAGCACTTCATGGATAGCATTTCAGGGCTTGTTTGAGTTTGTGCTTTGGGTCACATTCGTGCTATAGAAGAGGATCATGAGAATGTGAAGATGTCTTCTGTACTGATATCTCTGTGTCTTTTTCCTTCTTTACAGCATTTTGTTTGCAGACATTGTGGGGTTCACTAGTTTGGCATCACAGTGTACTGCCCAAGAGCTAGTGAAGCTGCTGAATGAGCTCTTTGGCAAATTTGATGAATTAGCTACAGTAAGTACAACATTCTTATTTCAATTTAATTTAAATTCCCTTCTGAAAGACGATGCATGAGTTACACATGTTAGAAATCTGTAATTGATTGATTTAGACCCACGTGTTATGAATTTCTAAAGCTTCAATTTTTTATTAATATTCTGGAGAGAAAACAGTGTATTTAATTGTTTAGGAAAGGCGTTTAAGTTGCTATTTTTAAATATACTTTTCTTCCCCCTCCTTGGAGGCCATCAGTGTTCTTCATCGGTTTCATTTGTACAAAATAGAGAAAATATTTTAATATTTACATTTCTCTCCTGCATGGAAAAAAACCAGGATAATGGAAAATATGAATATTGGCAGTATGGCATGAAACTACTTTCTGTGATAATAAGAAGCTAGAGAGTAAAATTAGTTCTTCACAGAGAGCACTCCTTGTCACAGAAATGATAGTAGCTTTTCAGAGGGGCTATTGTAGGCAAAATGGGATACATATTATACCTGATGCTTATGTTTTGGTCATTGCACTTTCATTGTGCCAGAATCCCCAAGGAAAAGAAAATGAGAGAAATGTTCCTTGCCTATAACTCCTACCAGTCTAATGGTACCACAAGCATTTGGCAAGAAATGAGAGGAATGGATGTGCCTGAAAAAGTCACACATCTTCTTTCAAATTACATTTAACGGTATTCTGAAAATGTGTTTTCCCCTTGAACTAAGCAAAACTTCATAAAATCTCTCTTGTTTGCCAGCCATGTCCTCAGAGCCGTCATTGCTGAGAAGTGTCACCTCCAGATAAGTTATGCTCCTCCATTATCTAGCTATCTTGTCTTCAGGCTCTGTGCAGCAGCCTAGAGAGCATATTTCTTCAGGTTCCCAACATAAACAGCATCCACATTTTTTCAGTCGAAATCCACTTCTCTTTGATGTAGTCTTCCACATAAGAGAACTGAAGCCTGTGGACACTTTACATCTATGGCTCCCTCTTGATAAACAGCTTTCAAGGACCCCAAGGAGAAAGAAATCTTCTGCTCCACAAGATGCCAGGGTTGAGGAAGACCTAGCCTTAGTTAAAAGGGTTGTCATTTGATCAAGTGCTATGTCCTGATTTGCACTAGATGTTCAAGCCATAACAGAGAGAAACTGTTGTGTGTTTCCTTTTTCCAAGAGAAACAGAAGACTAACTTAGATGCTGAGTAGAGATGCCATGGAAGTATGGTTTTTTGGTATGAATATGTAACACACTCATAAGCCTTTGTGTAACCAATTTATTACTGGAACTACTGTCACTGTCTCACAGAGAGCACAGGTCCCCAGCCCAGAGTACTTCATAGATGTATACCTTAGAAATAAAAGTGACTGCCATGTAGATGATCATTGGCAACAGCTTAAAATTTTCAAATAGTCTCCTTAGTTTAATTTCGTTACTGAATTTCATCCTCCAAATGTCAACCAGCCATCTAATAAGCTCTTTTAAAACTGACAATGCTTTAATTTGTGGAGTCATCATAGCCATGGAATAAAGGCGATGTAATAACATGGGAGTGCTGCCACATAACACGAGGTCACAGATGTGCACACAGAAATGCCCATGCCTGTGACACGTGACGTGGCACTTGAGCCAGGGAGATGGCTACTGTACCGTGCTGCTCCCTTAGCGGTGGCCAGGCGCAGCCGACTGGAAGCGTCAGTGACACCTGAACCCAGGGTCCCAGGCAGATGCCAGCTTTGGGTGCGAGGTTAGTTGTTTGTCAGAGAAGCAGCAGATCGCAGAGAGTAGAGGAGCTAAAAAGCCTTAGCTTTTCCGTTCAGCCTGCATGCATTCTCTTTCCAGATTTGAAAATAAATCTCATGGTTTCTTTCAGCTACGTGACAAAGATTTGTTATTTACTTGTCCTTCTAGTTCAGACCGCTGCATGGGGGTGTGATTAAGGATAGAACGTATGAGCTTTCCTTGGTGCCTTCTGATGTGGTAAAGGGGGACTTGTTACTGTGTCTCCTGCAGTCAGAAGAAATGTGCTGAGAAGTGCAACTTTTCAGGATTCTGATCTCTTGGTTCAGACAACTTCTAGATATTCATTATTAGGCCAAAACAGAGGACTGGGCTGATTTTAAAACAGTGCTGTGCTGTAGTATTCAGAATGATGAAGGAGGAAACTACAGGGGACTTCAAAGAAAAATGTAATGGTCATAGGTGTGTTCCCTGTGACTACTAAAGTGTGATCGGTAAGTGTGCACGCCCTGTGCTGCTGCTTCTTAGGAAGCAATATCATCTGGAAGGGGCAGTTTATGACAACCCTTGTTAAAACCATTGTCCTGTCTTAAAACTGTAATGCTTAAAAAAAAACCCCTGTCACCACTGTGGGAAGTGTAGTAAGTGTAAGGCAGCATATATTTGCTGGGAGTCTCATGAAGAGGCTTGGCATTTTGGCACGTTGACACATTGTGGGAACAGTGAGTCTTTGCTTTTTGACAGTCTAGCTCTGAAGCTGACCAGAACCAGGTGCTTCAGACAAACATAAAAATTCTCGTTGAGAGATCTGGGACAATTTAATCCTAAAGTTTGTCCTTCTGACATTTAGAAGCTAGTTTGTGCTTTTTAGCATTAGATTTTTCTCTGTTTCTATATGCTGTTTGATTTTTTTGGTAAGGCAAATAGTTTTGCTCTTTTTGAAATGCTAGGCCTTTTTTTAAATGACAATAGCTTCAAATATAGTTACAGTTTGTGACAGGGAGTTCTGAAGACAAACCTTAGGTTTCAATTTATTGTCATTCAATTCCTTTCAAAGTTTGCTTGTGCATTCTGTTAATAGAGAGGGAAGAAAATTCCTGATCTTCTTACTCCCTGCTAGAAATGATTTGTACTTTTATCTGTCCCTTCTTTTTTATTCACCTCTAGAGGAAATATCTTTTTCAAACACTGATCTTGTACAGGCTATTTTACCTTGTAAATCACTGAGTCTTTGAACTGTTAGGAGAAGAGGTGATCAGAATACAGTACTCAAAATGATGGCTAGCACTATTTGGTTTTTTAAAGAAACAATCTTAGGTAGTCATATTTTATATAGGACTTTGTGGTCCCCTTAATAACTTTGGAGTCTATGGGCCAACTTCAGTCACTTTGAAGAAAGGAAAGTGAGTCTCAAAAATCTAAAGCCAAACAAAAATGAGTGACAATATTAGTATCCTTGCAGGAGTGTACCTTCATCCTAGACAGACATCAGAGAATCCACATGGAGAGGTGCAGTTATGAATGCCTCAGTGTTCATTTGTATGTCTGGTTACTGAAATACTTTCATGTCACAGTGTTTAGGCACCCTGATTTTCTACAAGCATTTTGGATAAGTTTGCCCATGCAGAGGTTCCCTTGGGACTGTACACAACAATAGCAAGCCACCTTCCTGAATGTATGCCGTTAGTTATGTTTCTTATAAGGCCTGTGAATAGTTCAAATAGAAAGAATGATTTTGCATTAATTTCTGTTGGATTTGATCTGCCGTTCAGGCTTAGTTTACTTAGTTCAGGCTGTTACTTCTGAAGTTTCTCCATTTTTTCCACTTTTGGGTAAGCAAGAGTAACTTCGTGCAGTCTCAGATTTTGCCCTAATGATAGTCATTCTGTATTACATATTATCAATGAATGCTTTAAAGAACTGATCTTTGCATGAGGTCTTCAGATGCCTTGCAATTAACTTTCAACACTATAGCTAGCTTCCAGTTTGTCATTCTTCAGCTTACTTTTGAGAGTGACAGATTTTAATGAGATACAGTCATTTGCATTGTGTTGTTTTTATGTTCCCAAGGAATTCTTGGACATGTGACAGTTAGGCCGGGTGCCTTGTTACTTTAATACACTGTATATTTCAGTGCATTTTCTCTTCATGCTTTAGCTGTGGCATGGATTTACTGTGAATGAGGGAGGTTCTCAAGGCTGCAGTTACCCAAGTAGCATCACACAGAGTTGCACAAGCCCCTGCTCGGGTACTGTCATGGTCACAGCTCCACTATCTTGTGATACAGTTCAGCTATACCCAAAATGTTTTACCTTCAGTAAGGCATCGTAATAGAAAAGAGGAGGCATTTCTCCAGCATCCTGCATCATGATGAAACAGGTTTGCTTTTTAGAGAAGTTTTGATCTTCTCTATTTGTTCTTTTCTTTGGTATATTTTTCTCACATACTTCCTTAATCTAATCTACATGGAGAATGAATTATTTGTATTAACAGATTCAGTTATTTCACTTTCAACTTCCATGTTACTGCATCTTGGACTTCTAAGACTTTCTGTTTACAAGTGGATAAGGATAAATGAAGTTTAGGCTCTTTTCAAAGTCCATTGCCAGAAGAGGATTTTGATATTCTGAATGAAGGCCCTTACTTGTTCATGCCACTTTTGGCATCTCATCTATTAGCCAGACTGACAGCCGCCACTTTCTTGTTCCTTCCATTTGCAGTTTTGTATACCTTCAGGCTTTGTCAGTATTTGTAGGCTGAATCTATTTTTACTTCTTTCCATTTTAATTTAGTATCCTTTCCTGATTACCTTCTTAGCTTTTAACAATTTTTACTTTCCAAATTTCAATGTTGCTAAAGTGGCTTTTTGTACCCGTTCAGCCTCAAAGATATTGAACTTAGCAACGTTGCTTCTGAGCCTTAGGCAAGGAGTCAGTAAGTAATATTTTAATCAGCTTCTGTGTTGTTTTTTTTTAACTGTGTTAAGAACAGTCAGTGCTTTGTTGTGCTTTGAACTAGCTATTCCTAGAAGCAATCACTTTAAGAAATTGATTCAACTGAATCTACAGAATGCTTTTAGTTTATATGAAAATAATTATGATGTAATTTTAAAATATAAAATGAACAAAGTTTTGTGGGCTGGTTGAGATGAGAAAGTTAGTGCTGGATAACATAAAGTAAGTAACTCTTCTTTGTGGAAACTGGTAAGTGTGCACTAGGGGGGGATATTTACAAAGGCTAATTTTAAGGAGACTTGTCTCCCCAAGTTCCCTTGATAGTGCAGACA